CTGATACATTTCTTGAGATGGAAATGACACATTCATTTTCCCACACTGGTGACGCCGTGCATTGCTCTATCATCCTACTCACTCTCCCCTCGGCAAGGAGGGATGCAGACTGTCAGGCTGGGACCTCAATTAGAAGACTCTGTTCCCATGGTTAGAGAGATGAGTTCAGCAAGTCACAGAAGAACAAGAGAGAGCAGGGGATGCTGAAGTCTCCCTACCAGGCACCCTGCTGGCAAGGTGCAGGGGCTTGCTGCTGCCCCTACGGGCACCCAAGCACCTCTGAGACTGAGCTCTTCTCTCTCCTTCTCCCCCCTGCCCTTGCACATTTTCGTAACCTTGCGAAAAGTTTCAGACAACGTCATCTTTAACCTACTGCAGCCAGGGCTTGGCAGCCATGTGAGGGACAGTGAGGGGGACCATACTTGATCAGCATACCAGTCCCATGGCCAATGAGTGGGGAGCTGGACTACACTCCCCTACCCGCCACCCCAAAAGGGGTGCAGGAATGCCTCTCCCTTGGCACTGCATTTTGAAAGATGTGTCTGGCGAGACAGCTAGCTGACTTTGGCAGGCACTACTGGCAGCGTGATAATTAATTAAAGCACAGTTGAGAAAATTGTAGCGCGGGTTTACTCCGCAGCCAGATCTGCAGCTTATTAGCAGAGCAGGGCATCATGTTCTAGCCTGTATCTCTTTATTTGAAAGAGTAGACAGCTTGCATTTTGCACTGAAAATAAGAGAGCGGGATGAAGAGGCATGAATCCTTGAGGAAATCGGTGAGAGAGGACCTTGTCTGCAAGATAAGGCAACCTAGGAGCAGAACAGCAAGTCATACATACCACAGGAATAGAAAGGATAAGCAAGGCAAGACAGCTAAAGGCTATTTTACACAAGGAGGATCCCCTCCTGTTGCCTGTGTGGCACTGAAGACTGAAGGAGTCTCTCTGCAAAACAGAAAAGTGAGCAGGAGGAACAGGTGCCCTGTCTATTGCAGTCAGAGCTGCCACTGCTGCACAGCTTCCCACGTTTCTGTGCCTTCAGCCGAGCTCTTCCAGGTACCAACAACAGTGAAGTTGCATGGATTGTGTTCCCAAACAGACACCCAGGTCGTTCCTGCTGTCACCTTTCCCACTGCTGCACATTTAGGGAGATTCAAGATAACCCTGACGTGCAGACTTTCCTGCAGCCATAGCTCTCACCTGCCTGCATGCCTGCCTGTCACTGGGCTGCCCCTGCCCCTACTGACAGGTACCTGCGCCCCATGCTCACTGCCTGTGTGGAAAGGCAGGCAATACTGTGCCATATAAAGGGCTTGTAGATCAGTGTTGATGGGACAGGCTTGCCACAAGTCACTCTCAAGCCCCCGGATGGCTTGATGCTGTGTTGCTCCTTACTCAGAGTGTACCAAAGAGGCTCAGCCCAGGACAAGAGGACCCCCACTGCATGTGAAGCTGCTGCTGTAGCCCAACTAGTCATTGTGGACACAGGCAGGGAAGGGTAATTTTTTATCCCCAAACTGGGGTTTCATTAAAAATGCCTGGTTTTCACAAAAGAAAGATTTAAAAAAATACTTCATTGATATCTTTGAACAAACTTAAAGTAGGAGAAAAGGATTCCTTTTTTGTTTGTTTGTTTGAACTTACTGGCATAGAAATCACCTCAAAGCTCACTCTGACTTTTTGGATTTAATTTCACTTTTTCTTTTCGGGGGGGGGGGGAAGAGAAAATTTAAATATTTATAGGGAGGAACAAGACTTCTTACTTACTTGCATTTCCTGGTCAGAAGGAGAGCAGAACACGTTTTTTGCTTGCTTCTAAGCAGATGCTTTTGTTGGAAGCCCTCTCAGACTGGAAGAACCTCTCATCCTCAGCTATCAAATCTTTCATATGAATAGAATTAAAGAAGCACAGGAATTTTCAAAGTTAGTCTGTGTCATCCCCTCCCCTTCCCCTCCTCCCCTTTTGCCCTGTGTTTCAAGCTCTCTTTGGAGCATTGCTGTGGAAATGAAATTTTGGGGTTGATTCTCCTCTTGCTTTCTGTTGTGTGAAGCCAGTGAATTTGCTTGGGGTTTAGCACAGCCGCACCACACAAACCAACGCTGCCCACATTCTGTTGGAGACACTTGTGTGCTTGTTTTAACCTTCCACATGGTCTGTGGGTGCAAGTACCAGCCTAGTTACGCAACTCCTGTCTCCATTCCTCCAGACTTGCCCCCCTCCTTCTTGTTAGAAATAATGTATTTTAGCTCTCAATCTATTACCTTCCACCCGCTTTGGAATCCCCGAGTACTATAAATCAGGTTCTTTTTACAGATGGAGCTTTGCTTTCCCCTATAGGATTATATATTTTACAGAGGAAGCAAAACTCAAATCCAGTTAGTGATTGCACTGAAGCCCACTGAGCTGATGCCATGAAGCTCCTTCTCCATCCGATCATGACTATCTGCAAGGGAAAGAAAGTTTGTAAATGTTGGAAAATGTGCTGTGTCAGACTGGTGCAATTGCACATTGTTTAGCGTTCAGGGACCCAGTGTGCCTTCATGAAGTCCCATCTATTTCATATTATTTTGCAGCTGGGTTTACAACAATCTTAGGCAACTTGTTCAAGATCTGAGAAACCAGAATTAATCCCCCTCCCGCCTCATCTTTCATCACTTGAAAGTTTCCTTTTACTTTTTTTTTTTTTTTTAATTTTCCTCCTTTGTTTTAGGTGGAGACTTTGCATAACTCTTTCAGATTATGTCTTAAAATGAGGCATGGGCATGAGAAGGAACAAAAAATTATGCAAATTAGCATTTTCAGTGTAACAAATTAGATTTTATTCTGACTAGTTTGTAAATCTGCTGGCTGCCCTTGCTATTGATGGGTTTCATGATCGGTATTGGGAATGAACTGAAAGTCTGATTACAGCCTGTGGATTAGCAGAGGTTAGTGGGGGCCTGCAGCCCACCCAGGGCTGGCCTGCCAAGTGTTGCCACTGCTCTTGTCTACCTGCTTAATCTGATCCTGTCAGCAGTTAAAACTACACTAGTTGTCTTCCCACAGTCATATTGTAATCTAAGTTTTTGCTGCAGTAGCCGTGGTTTCTTCATGCTCTCTTTTGCTCTGACTGGGTTGGTAGCACCACCTATGATTAAGGTGGCCTGAGAGTCTCCATTACAGCAGCTTGCTTTAAATTGTTTGCTCTTTCGGTTTGCCAATGTTGCCTGCAGGGACTGGAATTTTCTGGGAGGATGTCTGAACCTAGATAGAGTCAGGCTGATTTCTAGGGCGGAAATTACACTACAGAGTTTCAACTAAATTAGATCAAGAGAAAATGCATTGTTTGGTCCACACTTGGGAAAAAGAAAGACATGAGAAAATTCTTGCCATTGTTTTGATGAGAGGGTATCAAACACCGGTCAGAGGATACGCTCAATACTTAGCAAGCTGCAGTGCAAACCATATTTTTCTCTGCTCACACCACCACCATCCTCCAGTGAGGAAGGCTGGTCTCTCTCTCCTTACCCCCAGCCTCTTCGCTTCCTGTCCTGTGCCTTTGACTCCCACCTTCTCCCACTGCCTCACCCACTGCTTTAGACCCCCTCCCTGACCTTGCTGCCCCAGTTGTCTCAGTTGGGAAGAAAGTCTTAGCATGATCAGTTTGCACCCTCACTGAATTCCTCTAATGCCTTTTGGATATAAATAGGAGCTGGTGGTGGAGGAACTTCAAGTTGTGTCCTGGGGGAGATGTATTCTCACTCACAGATCTTAGCAGTCTTTTAACGGAATCTAATATTGCAAAGGTGACCCAGTTCTGCTAGACTCGAGCAACTTCTTATTGAATAGCCCTGCTAGTATGAACCAGGTGTATTTTAGTCTCCTAAGGTGCCTGGTCTGAGAAGAATCAGTTACCCTCAAAGCAAATACCATTTGCTTCACGTTGCAAAACCCAGGAGTCCTCATTCCCTGTAGTGTCATAAGCTTCTTCATGAAGCTGGGCCTCTGACAACATGCTGCACAGTGAAATGAAAACTGGTCTTGTTATTGATTTAGTATTTCTCTACTACATGTCCTTACATAACTGATCTTTCACCCAGCTGCTTGCAAACCATATTGCTGAGAGGAGGGCAGAGAGAGTTGAAAAGCTCAAAGAGGCAACTTTCCATTTCTCCAGAGTACCGATGCAATCTCCGGCAAATTAATTTACACTCCAAACTTGTATCCCCTTGAGTGCTGGCAAAACAAGGTTTCAGTAAAGGTTTTTCAAGGGAACAGCAGAAGGCTCCTTGCAGGCGCTGAACTGAAAATGCAGTTAGCACTTGGCTCCTGGTGCAAAAGCATGGGTGAGAAGGAAGATCTTATCTGAGGCGCGGCGGAGCTCGGTCGCCAAAGGCAGGGAGGACCGAGGGGCGAGCGGCGGGGCCGCATCTTGGCTGTGCGGGCAGGGCCGGCGAGGCACGGGGCGGCGGGGAAGAGGGCTGCGCTGGGGCAGATGCGGGTGGCCAGAGGGAGCTAGGCCCGAGGACTCGGAGCCGAGGGGTCTGTGCACACCGGAGCAGGCTGCCTGAGCTCCTCGGTCTCGGCCGTGCCGTGCCGTGCCGCGCCAAGCCCGGGGCCG